GATTGAGAGTGGTGTCATCAAGCTAGGCGAGAAGCAGGTTTGCATCTAATTTCGATTAATCTACACTTTTCTTTTTCTTGCACGTGGATTTGGGTTGATTTTTGTTGCTCGGTTCTCTCTTTTTTTTTTCTTTTAACAGTCAGAGAGCAAATGCGCTCTTGTGTATGGACAAATGAATGAGCCCCCGGGTGCTCGTGCCCGTGTTGGACTTACTGGATTGACTGTCGCTGAGTATTTCCGTGATGCTGAAGGCCAAGATGTCTTGCTTTTTATCGACAACATTTTCCGTTTCACTCAGGTGAGCCTTGTTGTTGTATTCTCTCTCAGCACCTGTGTGCCTTATATTTGATGAAGTGATCGGTTTATTTTCTTGTGTAGGCCAACTCAGAAGTGTCTGCTTTACTTGGACGTATCCCGTCTGCTGTCGGTTACCAGCCAACTTTGGCTTCCGATCTTGGTGCTCTTCAGGAGCGAATCACAACCACTAAGAAAGGTTCTATCACCTCAGTCCAAGCCATCTATGTCCCTGCTGATGATTTGACTGATCCTGCTCCAGCCACGACTTTTGCTCACTTGGACGCCACAACCGTGCTCTCGAGACAGGTGTGAACTTGTCTCATTCTGATGATTCTTTTCACAATATGTGTAATGTTCATAAAGCTGATATTTTTATACTTTTTTCTTTCCGATATGAAGATATCTGAGCTTGGTATCTATCCTGCTGTGGATCCTCTGGATTCGACATCCCGTATGCTCTCACCTCACATTCTGGGTGAGGATCACTACAACACGGCTCGTGGGGTGCAGAAAGTCCTACAGAACTACAAGAACTTGCAAGATATTATCGCCATTTTGGGAATGGATGAGCTTAGTGAAGATGACAAGTTGACTGTTGCCCGTGCCCGTAAGATCCAGAGATTCTTGAGTCAGCCATTCCATGTTGCTGAGATCTTCACGGGTGCCCCAGGAAAATACGTTGATCTTAAGGAAAACATCAACAGTTTCCAGGTATTTATATATATGCCCATATGACTTTCTTCCCTGCGCCATGATTGTTTGCTATATATGAGCTTTATACGAATTGTAAATTGTTGCAGGGTTTGCTCGATGGTAAGTACGATGATCTTCCTGAACAATCGTTTTACATGGTTGGTGGGATTGACGAGGTGGTTGCAAAGGCAGAGAAGATCTCCAAGGAGTCAGCAGCTTAAGCGCCTGATTCATCTCTCTTGGATGTTTAATACTTCTCTTTTTCTTCTTTTGTTGACAATAACGAAAAGAAAAAAAACAAAACCAATGCTTTAGGCTGAGCTGCTAAGTGCATTGCGATTCCCATCATTGTGAGTGTGAGAGCCGGGAGATGATGCTGAACATATTCATTTACGGTTACTCAAATTTTTGGTTCTTTTGCTTCCTTTACTTTTGAAATAAAGGTCAAGTCTTTCAGATTCGAAATTGCAATGTGTGATTTAAGATTTCGTGATATCAATCTCTTATTTCTCTTTGATTCAGAAAATGTTATAGTATGATCATCATCGTCATTTGAAACCATCTCTAGGCTATATATGACATCCATTTTTGAAAAATGTATCACTATATTGAAATATTGCAAATGATCTAACAACCTGATGCCACATTACAACTTCTTCCATAGCCTTCTTTTATGCTCTTATATACAACCAAATATATATTGAAATCAGAAGCCCAATTTTGTGCATTGGTCCACAAAACACCTCTTTCCATTAGAAGCTCAAGCTACCTTCTTTCAACAATGCTTTATAATCTCTCGGCACATCGACCCGATCAATCACATCCAACGCTTTTTCTTTCTCGATAACAAAATCAAGCAGAAAACCTGAAGAAAACCTCTTCACCGCAGCTGATTTGCTTCTTCTCACTCCACGAAAATAGTCACTGCTTTTGCTCAAAGGGTCACACTTTCTTGCCCGCGAGAACTCAGAATCAAAATCTTGACTCTTGCTAACACATGGATTCCTCTTTCTTTTGCTTGCCTCTTGTAACATCTTTTGCTCCTCAAGTGTTATTAATGGGACACTGAGTGGTTCAGATGTCAATTGCTGGTTCGTAGTATTCAATGCAGACTTGATAGAAGAAAGTCTAGGAACTCCTCGAGCGTCGCTCTTTGCTTTTGTAACCAAATGTTGTAACCAAATCAGCTGTCCAAGAATGTAGATCTCTGTCTTTTCTTTACTAGCGTGATAGAGTGTCTCGATGCGTAGTATATCTCCACCACTAGGCTTACTAGTGAAATCAGTCCTGTAAGATTAAAAAAAAAAACCATTGGAAAAACAAAACACAAAATGCAGGAAGAGAAGTTGCAGGTCTTGTTTCATTCACCACTCACCCTGTATTTGCCCACTCTCCAACCCAACCGAAACCATGATGAGCTCTGCGATGAACCCATTCGACGATCATTAGCCATAAAAGAAAAAGGTATTTCATACCATGTTAAGTCAGGGTAACGAAAGAAGGGTCAGATTTCTTACTTGGTTGTGTTGGCTGCAACAGGGACAAGCCAATGCAGTGTCCTCTCCATCTCGTCCTTAATTTGTGCAACCGAAAGCTGTCAGAATAACCACAAACAATACCGCCTTGTGTTTTAGTACTATTGGTCAAAAGAACACATTCAGTTTTTGTCGATCAGAGAGTGTACACCATAAGACATTACCTCCTTATCGACATTGAAAGACTTAATCTTGGAACGAAGAGCCAATTTTATACCAGGGGGTAAGCTTTGGTATAGAGAGTCCCTTGCATTTGAAGTTATAGAGCTTGCACGGACGACCTATACCCATAAAAACACACACTTTTGATTTGATATGATCGAGAGAATATAGTTAGAACCAACCAAACCAAATGAAGCAAAGCTACGTTTGCGCACTTACAAGTGTATCAATCTGCACAATAATATTTGCATAATGTAAAGCAAGACCAGCAGGTCCCAATCTTTTATCATAATCTGCAGCTCCTTTCTTTGATGGTTGATCATCTGGGCACATAATTTGATGTAAGAAAAAATCAGTTTTTTTTTTTTTGTGAATAATAAATTATGGAGGATCAATTGACAAGAAAAGTTGAGAACATTGAAAAACATAGATAGATGCTCAGTAGCACATGGTGGAAGGTACAAAAGGGAAGACCTTACATACCGGCACCACCGAAGATATTATGAATCTCTAGCAACAAGAAATGTACAATGTCTACTAGTTTTTCCATTACCTGAAATACAATAAAATAGCGGTCAAGATGAACATCACAATAATCTATTTCTGGTTGCAAAAAAAATTCTAACAAGAGAGTTAGTTTTGGTTGGATTTTAGTTTGTGAAATGCAACTGTTGGATTTATTGAGTACTCTTAAACATACAGCCAAAGGAAATGGTGATTTTTAATGATAATGAAGCGGTACACACCTCCTCGAAACCTCTCGACCACAACGACTTTTTCTTTAAGCTCTTCACTACCTTTCTCTGGGATTTAAGTTCCGTTTTTAAGATTGCAAGGCCATCACCTATATTTACAAGAGAGGACTGTTATGAAAACAATGTTTCGAATCTAATAAAGCAGGCAAGTAGTCTTCGATAGTTTACCCTTACTGCTGCTAGCTGAGTTCTCTTCTTCTCGGCGCTTTTGCTCATAGTCTTTCTCCAATCGATCCAATACTTGGAGTTCTTGGTATAGTTCCTGAAGCAAAATAGATATTACACATCTTTCAAGAGATAATCTGCAGTTTTTCAAAATTAAACAGCTACTAAAGAAGACAGCTCAAGGCACATAACACACATCTAAGTAGCAAGACAACTTAATATGATTTTAAAGTTTCCAATTTTAGAAAGTGTTACTCACAGCAGTATACTGCACTAGAACCATCAGTTGTTCAACAACTAACACAGCGTCTTCATTCAACTGCCTTTGAGGGGTTAATTCTTTGCTGATCCTGAGAACCAAAGAAACCATATAACAACTAAAAAGAAAGCTATAAGACACAAAGATGAACATAATTACATGCACAAAGATTTCGTATAAAATCCACCTGTCGAAGTAGCGCTGTAAATGATGCCACTGAATATCTTTTGATCGGTTTCCAAACCGAACCACTTCTCCCGAAAAAACTTGCAGCTCCTGCCTGCAAATATAACAAATTAACTATCTTGAAATGTTTTTGACGAGCTAAGAAAAAAAGGAAAAGAAGCAGTCTTAGTCTTGGATTTTCACCTCTTATCAGCAGCAACAAGTCTGAGGAGTTCATCAAAATCATTCGAGACAAGATTTTGAACACCTTCGGAATAAAGGACACTTTCTTTCAAATGCATGATGTTCCTCTTAGAAAGGGATTCAATGAGATTTGAGCTTTTAACAATTGTGTTTGCTACTTCAAAGGCTAAGATCCCAAGTTCATTGCCTTTAGTTGCAACCCCAGAAGTAAATCCACCGCTGCTAAGATCCGTCATGCTACTCCCAAGAGTATCTAAAACATCCTTTGCTTTACCTAAACCCGCTTTGCCTAAAAGCACACTTGCCTCTGTAACCTGCCACAATACAGCAAATTCAGTTTGTTCTTTTGACCTGACAATACGTTAACTCGTGATCGTACTCGTAGCTCGTTATTTCAGCTCGTCCAAACTAACCTTTGAAACTGCAGTTTGAGTAGATTTTGCAGACCTAAGTTTCTGTGATGGAACAATGGGCAACCTCGGAATCCCATCATAGAAGTTATCTTCTGCTTCCCTTTCGCGGAAAGAGAATACATCTTTCAACTGGTTTTGTTCCTTGACGTCTTTAACCATACATTGCCTCACACCAGGACCAAACAAACCCATCTGCCCAGATGGTTGCGGGTAGCCAAAATCGGGTTCTCTAGCATCATCAGCCACACTTGAACCTGAATACTCACTGCCAAAATTGATTCCAAGGCTCTTGGAGCAAAAACTCCCCATAGCTTTTTCTTTATTCTTCCAAAGACCTCAAGCTACGTTTATCATGCCACTGAGTTGAGCGTAGTTTAAGAAAAATTCGAGAGACTCTGATGCAAAACCAGCGAGGGTAATAACCTAGAACAAAGGACAAAGTAAGGAAAAAAGTCAGATCAAATCTTCGAGACTAAATTCCGAAAATATGGACAAAGTCGTGTCCGAAATAGTTCAAGACATTGCAATCGCCCTCGGGCAAAGGTAACAGATTCGCACCATTCGTCTAAGCCTGAAACACACCAAGCCAAAGCCGTTTCACGAAGCAAAGCCTTTCGATCAAAAGACTGTGTGAACCCAAGCAGCAGCAAGATCAGATTTCCTAACAGAGGAATGCGAAGGAGAGGACTTACCCAGAAGAGAAAAAGACGTGATTTCTCGAGCGATAGAGCTTGGGATTCACGACACAGAACAGTGAAAAGACAAAGGACAAAGCAACTGGAACACGAGAATATATGTTAGAAAGGAGAAAGTCAAGGAGAGTAGTATGAATGGAGGAGGAAATCAAGAAAAAGGGATTCAACAAGACAAATCAAAACGGATTGGACCACCAAAATTGGCATTCCCCTAAAGCCAAAACGAAACAGACCAGCTTGATTAAGAAACAAAACCAGCTTGAAAAGTCAAAACTTTTTCTTTAATCTCAAGAGTTAATAAGAGAGAGAGAGAGTCACCAAGCGGTGATGGTTTGGTCAAAGCATCCCATATTACCACGACATTGACTCAATTTGTGTCTTTTTTTTTTTATTCCGTGTAAGTAAAAAAACTCATCTTTGGCCTTTTTCTCACTCTTCTTACTTCTGAACCAAAATCGCGCATAAGGTTAGGACTTTTCAAAGGGATTAAATTAGTCTTTCAGGCATGTGAAGATCTATCTAAGAAATGATTAAAACATTAATCAACTCATCATTGAATAAAAGAGTCTCATATACAATCATATTGCTAAATTGCATGATTATTTGGATCATCGAATCATAGCACGACAAATTGAACAAAAAGCTTTTTATTGTGTCTTTTTTTTTCTTTCTTTTAAGTGTGTTTTGAAATTATTCTGGTTATCCAATTCACAATCAACTTATTCGGTTAAGTTTAATTGCATCAGTACAAACAAAACGGATTACGATCAGAACAATTCGGGTCGGGTCGGGTCAGGTCGGGTCAGGTCGGATAATAGAATGGACTGGCCCAGTTACATAGTTTCGGTCTGTGGCTCAAAATTCTTTAAAATTAAAAATCCCATAAAACCGTAAAAAGAGGTCGGAAGAGTAACACATACAGTGCCATGGCCATGGCTTCTGCTATGGACTTATCTCCTCCAACGTTCTTCTTATCCGGAACTTCTTCTTCTTCATCTCTCCGTCGTCTCTCATCCATTTCCGTCTCTAGCTTCCGCCGTCACTCTACCCGGAGGTTACAGTTACTTTGCCAGGCCACAGCCGGAACTCAGCCTCAGAGCGGCCTCTCTGAGTCTGGCTCCAAATTAGCCGCCCGTTCTGGCCAGGACCGTCTTTTGAAGGTCGGTTTCATGTTTTATTAATTCTCTCACCCAGAAACTTGGATGAATTGATTTCAAATGATTTGTCGAAAATTGTTTTGAATTTGCAGGTTCCGATTTCGAAGATCAGGAATTTTAGTATTATAGCTCATATCGATCATGGGAAATCGACGTTAGCGGATAAGTTGCTTCAGGTGACTGGTACTGTCCAGAACAGAGATATGAAGGAACAGTTTCTTGATAACATGGATTTAGAGAGAGAACGGGGCATCACAATCAAGCTCCAGGTTCCAAATTCTATTTTCTCTTATTCCTTTGCACAGTTCTCAGTTTTCAAATCAACTGAGAACAAAGCTTCTACATTTACCTATCAAGAGTTTGTTCTTTTTCGTTGCTTTCCATAGTGAATACGGAAACCAGACTTAATAAGATTTGTCAACAATCGACTTAACTTTGTGTTGTATGTCTGTGCAGGCAGCTCGGATGCGTTATGTTTACGAGGATACACCATATTGCCTCAACTTGATAGATACTCCAGGTCATGTTGATTTCTCTTACGAGGTACTAACATCATCTAATCCACTGAAAATCCGTTTATTCTTTCCAACATAGACTTATTGTCTGCGAATAAAGTTTAAATCTTTACCTTAAAGTGAAATTCAATTTGTCATCTGTGAGCAGTTACTTAGGACCCTCGGTTTGAATGTTTAAAATTTTCTTATCTTAAAGCGTAAAATGTTTGAATTGTGGAAAATACAAATGATTAAGTTGCAGTTTTGATGAAGAATACTGTGCTAACTTCTTTTTGTTAATAGGTTTCCCGGTCTCTTGCTGCATGCGAGGGTGCTCTTCTTGTTGTGGATGCATCCCAGGTGATTTTTCTTTTCCTTGTCATACAATTTTTTGACACGGTGTGGAAACCTGGAATCTGTATTGCTTTAGCTGGTTTTTTTTTGGCTTGGTGAATGTTACAGTCTTTTTTGATGACCAAGTTCATGCGTACAAAACTTTCTAAGAACTTCCTTTAACATGTGCTTTAGGGTGTGGAAGCGCAAACATTGGCTAACGTTTATTTGGCTCTAGAAAACAACCTCGAAATTATTCCTGTAAGTACGGAATTATGCTTCATCTTATTGACATTTATATTATTCTTCTTAATATATCACTTTCAAGTATATGTGGTAGATTATTCAGTGACGTCAATGCCCTTTTTTATTAAAGAAGTCAGAGTCTACAATAAGTTAGCTCTCAAACTGGCCTAACATGTTGTAAAAATAGCTAGCATCACTCCAGCAGTACGTAGAAGATGCTTAATGAATAAAAAGTATAATGAAATCATTTAACGTTTGGTGAACGTTTGGTAATTGCTTGAATCTGATTCATGACTATTCAGGGAACAATAATGCAAGGTGTTTTTTTCTTCCTGTTCAACAATTTGGTCTGTATTCCAGAGTTTAAAGCAAACGAACTCTACTTCTTCCTGCAGGTTGTGAATAAGATTGACCTTCCTGGCGCTGAGCCAGAGCAAGTTATCAGGGAGATTGAGGAGGTTAGTGATTCCCTTCATTGTGTAGCCCATTTTATGATGTTCGTTGGTATTAGCAGCAATCATACAATGCGGCCAGTTATAATATGGATAGTATTCCTTCTTTGGTGTCTGCAAGAACTCTTCAGTCTTTTATGTTGCTGTTGTCAAAATGTAATCAGTACATTTAACCAGGTTATAGCTTCTATTAGAAAAAAATGTTAGATATTCAATGTACTTACTTTATGCCTTCGACATTTCTTTGTGATATTTTAATCCAGTCTCATGTTCCTCTAATTATGTAGTTGTTTCGTTACTGCTATTCCAGAGACATCAGCCTCTATATGAATACTGTTTGATGATGCGGATTGTTTGTAGGTTATCGGCTTAGACTGTAGCAACGCTATACTCTGCTCGGCAAAGGTTAGGTTTTTACATCAGTTTGCGATTTTGCTACTTAAAGATTTAAGACGTGTCGCTCTCTATCCATTTAATTACATTTTTGGGGCATCTTTCATTGATATAGGAAGGAATTGGTATTACGGAGATATTAGATGCAATTGTTCAAAGGATACCTCCACCTCGCGATACTGCAGAAAATCCCTTAAGAGCCTTAATTTTTGACAGGTACGCCCTTGTTGTTATTATCCATAATGACTTTTACCTTTCCTAGAAAAAAACATTTCGATGGCAAACCTCATAGAGTTATATGGTGATTGGACTGGTCACTGGCTTATCCCCTATCACTGGTTAACTAAAAATGAGTGTGAAGTATTCACTTTTTGTCTTGATTAGTCTACAAATGTGCAGTGTTTACATGTTAACTACTTCTATTTTACGATACATTTGTCTGCAGTTATTATGATCCCTATCGTGGTGTCATTGTATACTTTCGAGTTATTGATGGGAAAGTGAAGAAAGGCGACAGAATCTTTTTCATGGCAAGCGGAAAGGTTTTTCTTTTGCTCTCTACTCTGGTCTGGATGTCTTTCAATTTTATTAAGATCGCATTCCATATGCCAAATAGAAATTAATGTAATTCGTGCATGTCAGATTTTCGTGGTCTATGCCATCAGAGTGATGTGCAGTGTTATTCTGTAATTATTTTCGGAAAAATTGAGAACGTCTATCTTCTAGATAAGTTTTCTTGTGTTTCACCAGTATCTCAAATTCCCAATTTTGCATCAATTGCAGGACTATTTCGCCGATGAAATAGGCGTTCTATCTCCGAATCAAATTCAAGTGGATGAATTGTATGCGGGTGAGGTAGTGTGCTCTTTTAAACATAATTATTCTGTTTGTTTCACTTACTTTCCAGTTCTTTCGTTTCCCATTTGCTTGAGTAAATATTGGCTTTTCAGCAGAAACCTTGATATTACGAAATGAAGATGTCAGTTTTCTTTTGCTGTTATGGGGTTTATTCCAATGCATGTTAATAGGGAAACTATAAGCATTTTCATGTAGCAGCTTTGGCAGAAGATGGAGCTGTGATTCATAACAATTTGAGTGCAATAAAACAAATGTGTTTTCACTTCTCTTGAGGCTATATTTGAGAGGGAATGGTTTAATTACATAATTCTTTGCACGTTCTAATAGCTAGAAAGATGCGCTGGTTGACTATCATGCCACATTCCTTCCTTACTCATAATTTGAATGTTAGTGTTCTTAATTACAGGTGGGCTATATTTCTGCTTCTATAAGATCGGTTGCAGATGCCAGGGTAGGAGATACAATAACAAACTATGGAAGAAAGGCAGAAAGCTCTTTACCTGGTTACGAGGAAGCTACCCCTATGGTGTTCTGTGGCCTGTTTCCAGTTGACGCTGACCAGTACTGACTTTTTATTGTTCGTTTGCTGACTTTAGTTTTTGTTTATGTAATTTTTTTCACATGTGGTCTATGATGACAGGTTTCCGGATCTTCGAGATGCATTGGAAAAACTGCAACTCAATGATGCCGCCTTGAAGGTATTAGAAAAGTGAAACTACAGAAAATAAGTTTTTTTTTTTTCTTTTGTCTGTACCCAAAATAATGTGTAGAAGCAGTTACTAGGACGTTCCCTCTTTTTGGCTTGTGGTGGGAAACGAGTACGCATTACGAACTACTTAATTGAAAGATGGTTAACGTATTGATGTTTTTGCATGACTTGAATGCAAAATATAGACTAAGTGGAATGTAAAGTCTTTTTTAGTAAAGAACTGGACTGTAATTTTTACTAATCCTTTTTCAATGGCTAATTAAAAATAGTACCTCTCTCTTGTATGTATCTTTGTTAATGATATTCACATTTGGTCTAGGGATAAAAATCGAATACTTAGCTGAAAATTCATATATTGGGTTGTCCTGAACTTGGTTGTTATCCTGCAGTTTGAGCCCGAAACTTCAAGTGCCATGGGTTTTGGCTTTAGATGCGGTTTCTTGGGTCTTCTCCACATGGAAATTGTGCAGGTCAGACGTGTTTCGCTCTTCTTGTTTTTAAATGTTTTTTTTGATTGATGATTTGGCACACCGATAACCGAAATAAGTTGATAGGCAGAGATTTTTC